CAACTGTTGATGCCAGGGTGGATAAAAATCAATGATTTTTTTTAAAAAATCAAAAAAATCGGATTTTTTTTATTTTTATCAAATTTATTTTAATAAAAAACTTTTGGGGTAAAAATCTATCGTAAGATAATTTTCTATTTAAGATACATAAATAATTTAGTTTATTCAGCATGAAATGGAGCTTAGTTATGTAGCACAAGGCTGTATATTCTGCAACACTGGGACTATCGGTGAGTCAAAGGTCAAAGGAGTAGCGGAGATGACAGTTGCTCTTAGAAATTATGATTTAAATCAAGTTGATTTAAATCAAATCCACCCTGGTTGATGCAGTTTATAATTTCAAGAGCAGAAGACCTGAAGTGTGAAAAAAAAATTGTGCTTTTCACCCGTGGAGCCCCAAATAACTGGGGGTCACCACCCATATCTAATCAGTTACACTGCAGGAGTGAAACAATACAAGCCCAGCTCAAACAAGCTTCCTGCTATGGAGTGACTTGTTTTTATGCACAGGATATTTGATGAAGAACAAAAACTCATAGAAATCAGAGTAAAAATGTGATCAAACCACTCTGTCTTCCATTTCCTGTTCAGTGTTTTTAATCCCCCCCCTACAATTAATAATAAACCAAAGGTCAGAACACTAACCCAATGTAAATCAATATTCATTAATTCATTCAATATCATGATTTAGAGCCGGTTTACTCTTGTGTTGGGCTCTAAATCGTGATACTGATTTAATGGACCGTGTATTCATCTCAAAATGTTTAAGATCTTTCCCTGCCAAGATGCCAACCCTCCCTGGACAGGAAACATCTCCCACTTCTAATGTGCTTCTAATTAGGCGTCTCCCATTTCCACCCTTTGGCAAAAATACAGGCAAACTCTCACTTAGAAAGAAAAACTGAAAGCAACTTTCTCTAGCCAAGCTGTAGTTTAAATTCTCCTCATTATATATTATTATTATTATTATTAGTTCAATTTATATGCCGCCCTTCTCCGGAGACTCAGGGCGGCTTACAATGCACTTATAGCAATAGCCTTCATTCTTTTGTATATATCTGCTTATTAGGGCTTTTGGCCCCCCCCCCATAAGCAGTGTTTCTACAAAGTCAGTTTATTGCCCCCACAATCCGGGTCCTCAATTTACCTACCTCGGAAGGATGGAAGGCTGAGTCAACCTTGAGCCTGGTGAGATTTGAACTCGCACTAATTGCAGGCAGCTGGCAGCTGAGTGCTACATAACAGCACTTAGTCCGCTGCACCACCAAGGTTCTTAATAGTTCTTCTTTACAACTCAAGACAAAGCCTTGGATGCAAGCATCTGCCCCACATCTCTAGCCAGAACAATCCCTGATTCAACAATAACATCTGATTCACAGCCTACCTCTATACCAGGGGTGTCAAACTCAATTTCATTGAGGGCCACATCAGGGTTGTGTTTGAACTTGGGGGGGCCGGGGTGGGTGTGGCCAGCTCAATGTCACTTGTGTCGGGGGTACCTATGGTGGTCTGAGTGCTCTGCCAGCGAAAATAGGCTCCCGAGCTCCATTTTTGACTGTGATGGCCTCTTGCAACCCTCTGCCAGTGAAAACAGAGCTTGGGAAGGCCACATGCAGACTTCCCAAACTCCGTTTTCGCTGGCTGGTCCTTCCCTGTTTCCAGGGCAGCCCCACGGGCCAGATCTAAACACCCTGTGGGCCAGATCCAGCCTCCAGGTCTTCCGAGTTTCACACCACTGCTCTATACCTTTTCTAACCACGTACCCTCCAATTTATTGAAAAAGGCCATCCCCAGCATGACTTGGCCGTGGGAAATAAAGAAGGACCCTCATCATCCATGGTGAACTTCAGTTCTGATTATTATTCTCAGCCAGTTGAAAGTCGGCACCCACCAAAGGGGTTAGACTGCAATTCCCATTAACCCAGGGGTGGGTTCTAAATTTTTTTACTACCAGTTCTGTGGGCGTGGCTTATTTTGTGGGTGTGGATTGATGGTCATGTGACAATTCTTTAGGATATAGCAGAGGTACTGGTCTACCAGGCTTTTAACTGCTTGCAGAACTGAACCGGTCTACCCATTTGTTCTTGGAGCGTTCCGGTCTACCCATTTGTTTTTGGAGGCACCGGTCTACTCATTTGTTTTGGGAGGCACCGGTCTACTCATTTGTTTTGGGAGGCACCGGTCTACCCATTTGTTTTTCAACCGCACTGGTCTACCACCACTCTGCCTTTTAACACTGATCAGCTGTAGGGCGGCCCTTTTAAGCCCCCGACAAGAGTTTAAACAGTTTTTTTCCTTCTAGCCGATCAGCTGGGACTCGGGAGGCAGTGAATAGATTGGGGGCGGGGCCAAATAAAAGGTAAGAATAACAGGGGGGGCCGCGGAAGAGCCCAGCTCCCGAACAAAGAGAATCGGTTCGGTGACGTCATATCGCCACTGCTACTGGCTTGGCCGAACCAGGAGGAACCCACCACTGCATTTTTTTTAAAAAAAATTGATTTATATGCCGCCCTTCTCCAGAGACTCAGGGCGGCTTACAATGCGTTAAGCATTAACCCCATTAACCCTATGAGATGGAGCTGAAAGCGACCTGAATTCACATCACGGAGGACCGTGCTCAACATAAATCTAGGCATCTCAGGCTTCCCTAAGATAGCACTTAACGAATCACCACTTACAATCCCTACCCTGCTCTGTTTGAAAGGCTTGTGAAATTAATATAATATTAAAAACAGAATCCCATCAAAGCCACGATCAACAATCAGATACTGTACTCAGGTATTTGGGCGTATGATGCTCTTACTCATGCTCAAATGCTTCTCTTGCAAACCTTATTTGTACAGCTTTCCAAAGATGCTGCAAGGACATGTTAGGTTTTGCTGCATCTGTTTGTTGTTTTTACCCAGCATTCGAACACGTTACTCCATCTACTTTTGTCTGAAGTGGTGTAGAGTTTCCCGCCTAAACAGGGGGTTGGACTAGAAGACCTCCAAGGTCCCTTCCAACTCTTGTTATTCTAAATTCTAAATACTTTTCTGGAAGACTCCAGGCAGAATTGATCATTTTGAGAGTTCTTTCTCATTAAAACAGCTTATCTGTAGGTAATCCTCGATTTGCAACCACAATAAGGAATAGAATTTCTGTTGCTAAGCAAGGCGGTTATTAAGTGAGCCACCCCTGATTCTGCCTTTTTTTTTTTTTGCCACAGTTAAATGAATCAAGCAGTCATTAAGTGAATCTGGCATTGACTTTGCTTATCGGAAGCCAGCTGGGAAAATCAGGAATAGCGATCACGACCTTGCAGTCATTCTAAATAAATGCCAATTGTCAAGTTCCTGAAGGCACGGGAAGGGTTTTGTGGCTCCCGGTGTTTTCTTTTCTGTGGGAAAAAATGGCTCTTTGAGTGTTTAAGGTTGCAGATCCCTGGCTTAAGACAACGTGGTGAGAAACATGGACAAACAGGTCAAACTCACTTAAGAAATGGCTCACTTAAGACATTTTGTGCTCCATTGCAGTTGTACGTTGAGGACTGGCCTGTAGCAAGGACTCCACAATTCAGGCCCGAACTACAAATACTCTCTTTTCCGTTGTCTTAACTTGTTGCACCCTGCAGCCGAACCCGCCGGTCTTTTATCAATAAATCAGACTACGGTACAGAGGAAATACAAACAGCAGCCAGCATTCCCTTGAAAAGGGACACCATCTGGAAGCTGTAGAAACAGAGGTGCCATTTTGCTACTCTTCCCCAAGAATAAACTTACACAACAACTTCTTAGGGAAAGGCGCCCATTTCACTCCTCCACAACCCAGGGATCAGACACACAAACACACACCACACACACACACAGAGTCCTTTTTCCCCTTGCAAAAAAAACAACACAACCCTCTTCCCTAAAGATCCCATGTTAAGCTATTAACCCCAGATCGCTTATAAAACCCTCTCTGGATTCGATCAGACACACACACACACACCGTCCTTTTTTCCCTTGCAAAAAACCCAAACCAAAACACAACCCTCTTCGCTAAAGATCCCATGTTAAAGCTATTAACCCCCCCAGATCGCTTAGAAGCCTCTCTGGATTCCCTTCAAGCAACATATCGGGCGCTTTGGATCCGGTATGGGATTCGAAGGGAATCCCTGGGAAAGAGGCCAGTCGTAGAAAGGGTGGGGGTGGGGGGAAAGGGGGGTGGTGGAAAAACCCAACCCCAACCGATTCAGGTAGCGGATCTGAAAGCGATCCTTTCGAATCGCGGGGGCAGATTCCACGGCTAGGCACGCGGGGGGAACACAGCGCAACTGTGCGACGGAGGGAAGGGGGGGGGAGAGAGGGAGAGGGAGAGGGAAAACTCCCAAAAATAGACCGCCGGAGGATTTTTAGGGTGTGGAAAAAGCCATAAGTTTCCTAGAAGGAATCCAAGCATTCAACTTTTGCAGCCCGGAGGCCACGCCTGTGTTTATAAATCCGGCGGGCGAATGGCGGAGTGTGTGTGTGTGTGTGTGAGGTGGGGAGAGAACAAGGGGAAGGAAAGGGTGGGAGATAAGGGGGGAAAAAATGCAGGCGGAGGCCCTGGACTGTGCAAGCAGGGCGGGAGAGAGGGAGGAAAAGTTCACCCGATCCTGGCTCGGGACAAGGGGTTGTTTGGGGGGGGGCAAAGGAACCGGCTGCAACCCCCCAAAAACCACCCTCAGGCAGGCGCGCGCGCGCGGTGGGGGCGGGAAAGAAAGCAGTGGGGAAATCGCAGAGCCCGGATTGCACCGCGCGCGCTCGCTCGTGCCTTGCAATCGCGCGTGGCGCTGTCCCCCCCCCCCCCCCCGCAACCAGGTTTCCTCCTTTTCGCGTTCCGTTGTCGTTGCCTTCGGGTGGGAAGGGAGCGACGGGCCCTGCGCGGCATCCTGGCTCTGCGCTCCGCAGCCGCCCCCACACACCCCGGGGCTCTGCCGCCTGGGGGAGCGGGGGGGGGGGGTGAAGCGCCTCCCCGTCGCCCACCGCTCAACTTACCCATTGCAGGAATTTGATGAAGCCGAGCGGCTCCTTGGCGGGCCCCAGATCCAAACTAAACCCGGACATTTCCAAGCGGGGAGCGAGCGGAGCGCAAGGGAGGGCGTCTCTTTCGGTTTCTCGCTCCGGGAAGGCGGAGCGGGGCAGGGCGGGGGAGAAAGGGGGCGGTTACGGCCCTAAGGGGCCGCCGGCCTCCTACCTGATTCACCCGCTCCGGGCTGGCGGGATGTCGTGGCTGCTGGCGCTCCGCCCCGCGGCTGCAAGGCGTCGGCCGGCCCCGCCGCTGGTGACAGTCGCCCTTGGAACCGCGGGGTGAAGCGCGCTCTGGCTGGCCCGACAGGCTCCGTCAGGCCAAGTCCTCCCTTCCTTCAGGGCCCGATGGATTATCTGAGCGCTCCGCTGGCCCCTGTTTTGGTGGGTGGGCCCTCTCAGCCTCTGAGGGCGGAAAAACAACCGTTTCCTTGGCTTGGTGGGCTGGCTGTGATCCCTTCATTTGCCTAACCCAGAGGTCAGCAATCTGCAGCTCTGGAGCCGCATGTGGCTCTTTTACCCCTCTGCTGCGGCTCCCTGTCACTCAAAATATGCCGCCAATATGTGATTTTTTTTTTTTATTTGATTTATATGCCGCCCTTCTCCGGAGACTCAGGGCGGCTTACAATGCGTTAAGCAATAGCCTTCATCCTTTTGTATATTTATACAAAGTCAGCTTATTGCCCCCACAAACTGGGTCCTCAATTTACCTAACTTAGAAAGGATGGAAGGCTGAGTCAACCTTGAGCCTTGGAGAGATTCGAACCAGCAGAAATTGCAGGCAGCTGTGTTAATTACAGGGTGCACTAAACCCCTGTACTATCAAGGCTCTTATTATTTATTTATTTATTTTTTATTATGTGATACCCGGAGGCGCGCTATTTATTGAGCTTTTCGACCCTGATAGGCCAACCACGAATAAATCCAAGAAAAGAAAAGTTTCGGAAGAAAACAGAACGTTTAATTCAACTACATATGCTAGTTTTGTGGCTGCTCAAGAAATAGTCAGGCACTGGAAGGGTTTTGTGGCTCCCGGTGTTTTCTTTTCTGTGGGAAACGGGTCCAAATAGCTCTTTGAGTGTTTAAGGTTGCAGAGCCCTGGCCTAACCTAACATTTTTCTTATTTGGGCCTTGTCAATTTGAGGGAATTCACTGGAGAAAGCAATTATATTTGAAAGCTGTCAAAGGAAACTAGGCCGTCAAAGAACTGGATGGGTGGACACCATCAAAGCTGACACCAGCCGGATTACTATGTTTAATATTACGATTGTATTCTTATTAGAACTTATGTTAAAAGGGAGAAGTGAATATATTTATCACATTCAATCTTAGTATGGTACAATCAGAGAATTAATGTTATGAACAGTAATGAATACTGTTGTAAATTTTGATTATCACTGCACAAAGATATTTGTACCCAGATGACACACTGTTTAATGGAAGATGGAATTATTATACTAAAAAAATATTAAAAAATTATATATATATATATATTTAAAAAAGCTGATACCAGTCAGAGCATAGAAAAACTCATAGAAGTAGGGCCAGATTGGAAGATGTGCTGACCCCAGTAGAATTGCCAAAGGTCGGACAAGACTAAATGGATAACATCAATATTGGCGGCTTTATAGAAGAGATTGGACAACTATTTGTCTGAAATGGTGTAGTAGAGTTTCCTGCTTGGGTTGGACTAGAAGACCTCCAAGGTCCCTTCCAACTCTGTTATTGTTATCATCATCATCTTCTATCGATGGCTTAATGGTCTTACCAACTTTCCATAGTCAATGAGGTGTTGGTGCTGTATACCAAGCAGGTTCAACCACTTGAGTGGGTAGGAGCTATCTCAACAACAAATAGCTGACCATGTTTTAGCTTAGGAAATGTTCCTCAAACTCAAAACATTGAGGAAATGAATGGGATTCAGCTCCCAGAATTCCCTAGCCAGTACTATATACTGCCTGAGGAATCGTGGGAATTGAAATCCACACTTCTTAAAGTTGGTGAGGTGGAAAAAACATGGTTTGAGACAACCACAAGTCTGGTAATAACCAGATAATGTTCCAGGCTGTTCTCCATGTTCAATAACAGATCAACTGCATGAGCCGTGTTTCTATATCTACTGTAGCTTGAAGCTCTTGAAAACACAGTTCCTGTGGCAGTAAGAGAATCGCTTACTAATCACTAAGTAATTCTGGTGAAATACAAAAATGCAAACTTGTAGCGTGAGTGCTTGTGGTCGCTGCAGGGTGACTGTTTTTTCCCCTCCCTCTTCTCTGGCACTAATCCTTATTAAAGGAGTGAAGTTTCTAATCCCAAATGTCTCAAACCCAACATTACAGCCACTTCTTAAATTCACATGGATTTGAGGCTCCTTAATAGATTGGGTGTTTCAGTAAGGCGGTTGCTGCTGAAAACAAATTGCCAGTATGTTCATTCCTTGTGGAAAATTGTACGTGTTACAGAGGGATTTTGAGATTGTTTAGTCCAGCCTCCTGCCAAATTAGTCCTTCAGAGCTCATTCATTCCTAGTCAATATCCTTCTTCTATTTTCTTAAACTAATGATAAGAAATGTTCAGTCTAGGCCAGGGGTCTGCAACCTTAAACACAAAGAGCCATTTGGACCCATTTCCCACAGAAAAGACTGGGAGCCACAAAACTTGGGTGGGCATGGCCAACTCAATGTCACTCACTCCCACCCAGTCATATGACCCCCCCCAGCCATACCCTATCCAGGTTTTGTGGCTCCCAGTGTTTTCTGTGGGAAATGGGTATCTCTCTCTGTATCTCTCTCTGTGTCTCTCTCTGTCTCTCTGGCTAGGGAGTTCTGGGAACTGAAGTCCACACATCTTAAAGTTGCTAAGGTTGAGAAACATGGATTAAGGGGAAAAAAGGCTACTTCTGGGCTATATGCTCTTATCCCAACCCAAAAAAATGGTATTGGAATACTTCCCTATGCAAAGAATATGATTGCATTTAGTATATTCAACTCAATATCTTGCACATGTATTTTGGTTACATCAAAATAACTCAATTTTTTAAAGTAATCACCGGAACCAACAAACATCACACAATTTTGAAAGTGCCAGATGTCTGATGTGGAAAGTTTTTGACGCTGGAAAATTTCTTTCACTGAAAGTTTTCCAAACTTGATCTCAAAAATACTTCATTTTTTATTTTTGATCTCAAAAATACTTCCAATATTAATTTTCTTAAGTAAACCTGTATTTCCCCAGGGCAGGTTGCTTAACGTTTATTATTTCTTCTATGTAATGCTCTCTTTAAAAAAATCAAATATCAACTTTTTAATAAAATGAAATATAAATGTCAACTGTTTCACTGCTTTGGGGGATTTTCTTTGAAATGCTGTAGTCATTATAGTTTTACTCTTACTGTACACAATTGCATGTGTGCAGATGTGCGCAAATTATTTGGATTAGTTGCAATGAACAGTAACTAATTAGGAACAAGAAACGATTTACCTTCATAACAAGCCAGATAAGAGGGCAGGATTGAACCAGGCCAGTGCTGGGATTCAGCCAGTTCACACCATTTCGGGAGAACCGGTTGTTAACCTTCTGACCAGTTTGGTGAACTGGTTGTTGGAAGAAATCATTAGGGCAGAGAACCGGTTGTTAAATTATTTGAATCCCACCACTGAACCAGGCCTGCATTTATGTGCATAGACTGTGGGTAACATTGTGATTCTTGATAAAAAGGACAACAATGTAACTGCGTTGAGTAGCAATCCCAGGCCAAAAGGTTGACAGAAGTTGAAAATAAGGTGGCAGGAAACAGTCTCCTTTAACCTAATGACAGCCAGTTTGGATTATAAAACTTTCAGCTTGAACTCTATGTGGCTCATAACGATGCTTTCCTCTTGCTCTCAAAACTATTTGGGGCATTTGTTGATATTTGTTAATATGATAGAAATATGAATAATAATAATAAATAATATTTGATTTTGTCCGACCTGGCTCTTTTTATGTGCAGGATAATTCTGGCTATTTTGCTCATAGCCTTGAGCTCTGTAATGGGAAACTCCCTTCAAAACTGCCTCTATGGGCTAGGAAGTCAGACGTATCCACCCTCTCTCTTTTCTTGGGAGCAAATAACATAGGATGCCCCAATTCAGAATTTGCCTCTAGTTAGGATATGATCATATTTTATACTAGATGGACGCCTGGTCTTCATTCATTCTTCTTCAACTTTTGACAAGTTTGGAGCGAATAAGCTGGTTGGGACTTGTAGGCACGCTCTGTCTCAAACTGACCCTGTCAAACAGAGACTTGACCACCCGTCACTACCACGACCCCAGACACGTGGGACCCTTTGCAGGGTTGACTTGCAAACTCATCCGTGCACGCAGCTTGTCAAGGGGTAAAACCCCTTTTGCAGCTTCTTCCGGGATTTCATAGATCGCACGGCCGAGCAGAGAGCCGCGCCGCAGACTGCAATTCCCAGCATTCAACGGAAGCGGGAATCCGGCCTCGCACTGCATCCTGGGACCTGTAGTCTCGTGGCTGCCCCTCAGGCTGAGCGCAAAGGAGACCCTCACTTCCTATTAGCTGTTTTAAAAGACTTCCCTTGCCACAGTTCATGGAGAAGAGCAATAGCACTCCGCGTCGTAAAGCACAGGCGAAATCCGAATTTTATTCTTTGTACAGACATTCAAAGCAAAATCCTCCAACCTCCCCCCTCCCTCCCTCTCTCTCGCTTAGGCGAGCGACCATTACGCCCGTCTCAATCGTTCACCATGCCTAAGGGCCGTTCGGGCTCGAATGCGGCCGCGGTGCCCGACGGGAAACTTAGTTTTCCCTCTTTCACCGCCTCAGCCGGACTGCAGAAGGCCAAGCCAAAGCCGGGACTCTTTTTCCCACAATTCGCATCCACGTCGGAAGGGCGTTTCCGGCCCGCGGCGCCCGACGGGAACAGCGGTCCCGGAGTCTCGACCCCTCCTCTTTCTCTCAGGGCACAGCAGCCCGACGCGGGACTCGGACTCCCAGGCTGCCTCGCGCCGCGAGCTGTGGAGGCGCTGGTGGAGGATTGTTATTGTGGTGGCCCGGCCCCCTCAGACTCCTCTCAGTGTTTAAAGATGGCGGCGGCGGCGGCTGCTGCGGCGGGAGGAGGCGGCGGCGGCAGCGGTGGCGGCGGCGGCGGCTCCTCCTCCTCCTCGTCGTGGGCCTCGGTGCCGCGGGGCCGCTTTCCGGGACGGCCCGGCGGGTGCCGCGCGCGGGGAGCCGGGGCCGGCAGCCGCGCGCGGATCTCGCTGCTGGCGCCGCAGCTGCTGCTCTGGGCCGCCTCCGGAGAGGGCGAGCGGGCCGTGGCGGGAGCGGGAGCGGCGGCGGCGGCGGCGGCGGGGGACACCACCCTGGGGAGCCTGCTGGGCCTCAGCCGGAGCTGGCGCCGCCTGCAGAGTCTGCTGGGGGACAGCAGCGGCAGCGAGGAAGAGCCGGTGAGATTCCCGCGGCGGCTTCGCGGCCCTTTTTTTGACAAGGAGGGGCGGCCCTTGGCGCCACAGAGCCCCGCTCCTTTCCCGGCCGGGCGGAGCGGCCCGTGCAAGCCCCGGGTTGACCTTTCCGTCTCTCTCTCTCTCCCCCCCCCCCCCCCCCCCAAAGCTTTTTCTTCTCTTCCCCCCCCCCCCCATGAAAAAAAACCGGGCGTCTCCTCCTGGGAGACTGGCAGCAACTGGGCTGCGGTGCTCGGGCGGGGGAGGTTCCCGCGGGGCCGGCGACCGCTCGACATCCAGGCAGGGAGTGTCGTGGCAGCGTTTCCCTTCCTGGATCTCGGGGGGGGGGGAACCGACGGAGGGAGCCGGTTCTGAGCCGGGCCCGCGTCTCTCCTGCACGTGGATTGCGGCGCCTTTTCGCTCAGGGGCGGCCTTGGGGAGGAGGAGGAGGAGGAGGAAGAAGAGGAGGAGGAGGGGGGGGGGGGGGGGGGGGGGTGGGTTTCCAGCTGACTGGCGCTGCTTGCCTCGCCCCGCGGGCTCCAGAAGTGACTTCTGCTGGCTGCTTTGACTGCTTCCGAGGGGGGTCCTCCTCCTGGGTTTTGATAGCCCCCTCATAGCCCCATCCCCAGGGGAGCTTCCCAAGGAAAACTCCCCAGCTCTTTGGGGATTTGCACAGCTGAGCTGGCAAGGGAGCAAATTCCTGGAACTTGGTGGCCCCGGTTGCTTCTCCAAGCCGGCTCCTCCCTTTGTGCCGCTTTGGCATGGTGGCAGTGTGCAACTAGTTCAGGTGTGATGGGGTAGCCATGGTGAACAGATGCTGTCCTCCTTGGGGGGTGAAAAGCGAGGAGGAGGAGGAGGAGGGGTTTGCTTCCAGCCCTTGTTTGTTTGCAGAGGCAGCTGTTCTCCCTTTTTTTTTTTTTTTTTTTTGCTCCTAGGTGCTCTTTTAATAGGGAAGGTGGCTCTTTGGGAGAGAGGGAGGAGGGCCTGTTCCTGGTTAGTTGGTGGGGTGTGTGGGTGTGGTGCCTTCAGACATATGCTGGCCTTTGTTTCTTCCTGGATCCTCCAGAGTTAACTCTTTGAACAGTCACCTGCCGCACAGGCTTTCTCCTCCTCCATCCTCCTGTATGTATCCTGATCCTTGGAGGAACCAGCTTAACCGGAGAGGTCCTTTCATACAGCTGCTCACAAAGCAGCTTGGCAGATCCTTGCAGGATTCTGAGGAAATCCCTTGATTCCTGAAAGAGCTGGAGATTTCTTTGAAGAAAGATTGTTGCTTGCTTGCTTCCAGGAACTTCAAAAAGTTACTTTGGGAACATCCAGGAAACTGGAAATGTCTAGGAAGTGCCAGAAACAGGCTAGATGGCACCTTGGCTTTCATATATTTGTGGCAGCTCCTTGAGTATGAATTGCATTTCCATAATCTTATTCTAGAATGATAATGGAGAAAAAACATTCAGCCGAAGCTGAGGTTGCACTAGATCAGTGGTTCTAAACCTGTGGGTCGCAACCCCTTTGGGGGTCGAACAATCCTTTCACAGGGGTCGCCTAAGACCATCGGAAAACACATATTTTCAATGGTTTTAGGAATAATTTTAGGGTTGGGGGTCACCACAACATGAGGAACTGTATTAAAGGGTCGCGGCATTAGGAAGGTTGAGAACCACTGCACTAGATGAAGGGATACCCCCTCCTCTGGCAGAGGTTATTGATATGAAAGAGCTTTCTGTCATGAGACCCACTTACAGACATCCAGTCAATATACAGTATAAATTTCCCCTACTTCGGCTTGATTGGCATCTGAACATTTACAACTTATCTTTCCCCCCCTCCCCCCCCCGGAAGCACCACATCAAATGGGCCTTTGCCAGCTATTTTTGTATTTGGAGCAGTTTGCGGTTGCTGATTGCAAAATGATGGATTATGGCTCCCTGACAGGTTTCAGAAGCCGGGTGACATCAAGCACCTAGTCTTCTAGAAGAAGCTAAGGGAATCCAATCCTAACATAAACTCTATGTGGCCTTTGAAAACAAGGCCACCATTAAAAGGTTTGAGAATTGTTTGGCATGGGTCACTGCTTCCTACGGTGGAATGCTTTACGTCTTAGGATAGACAGTGGCCTCAGGCCTAACATGGCAAAGCAAAGCAGATGCCTAGTTAGTACTTCAAGTGGAGTTTTTTTTTCCATCACCTGCTGCAGTAACTATGGTCTCTGTGGTCCCAAATGAAAAATGGCAAGCACGACACCCCCCCCCCCCCCAGCTATCTCACACCTTTCACAAAAGATGTGCCCTGTTCGTATTTCTAAAGCCACACTTGTGGGAGTTCTGCTAGAGCTCTTGTGCAGATGATTTTGTCATCAAGGTTTTTCTTCCTCCTTTGATTTTGTCACTTGGGTGTAACTTGATGGTTGGCCTGGTCCTAAGTGACATCACTTTGCTTGCATGAATAAGACTGAGGGTTGGGTCCTTAAGACCTATTCTTATTCCTTCTCCCATAGCATTTGACATCTTGTTGACAGCACAAGAAGAGAACAACGGGGCCTTCGGATTTGTAAAGTGACATTTTAGGTTGATCATGCTAGGTAGGCAGAAGGCACTAGGAGGCTTTGTACTCCCCATCAAAACTGATGAAAATTAATCTCAGTTGTGGTGAGTTTGAACGTAAGTCTCTGCCTCTTAAAAGAAAGGGCTATAAGATTTATCTGGTTTACTGCTGGGCATAATACAGCAGCCAACCCAATGAGTATGAAAAGCTTGCAAACAGGATACAAGGGTGACAGTTTTCTTTTAAGAATGGCATGATCTTTGATTTTAGAGATTAATATACACCTATCAGAATTAGTGATAATTTGCAACCCAATCTTCTATTAGTGCCATAGTCCCCTTTATGCTTAAATTGATAGCTATTCGCCACATCTAGTGTTCAGTAGTACATTCCATAGCTATAATTGTGCAAACAAGTATATTTTTCTGAATAGTCACGAATCTTGTGTGTAGCTTCATTAAATTCACTATTTCAATAGGAAGAAAAGTGTTTCTCTACTTTTTCCTTTTCTGTAATTTCTCCCTTGCTTTTTTTTTTTTTATAGTTTGTCCTTTCCTTGCCGATGGCTCTTACATGATCCTTGCTTAGTGTAAACAAGTACTGTATGTAGAAGTTGGGAACTGAAAGATTCAATTGTTCTTTGTCTCGGTTCATCTATGCAGTTTTTGCGCTACAGACCAAGCAGCCCTCTATTAGAGTTCCATTAATAATGGTATATACATTTTTCTTACAAGTTACATTTTCCATTACAACCAATTGCCTGACAATTACACATTTCATGCCACCTGATTCAGTACATTCCAGGATAAAATTCTAGTCCCTGGGAAATATATATTTACTATATGTCCCCAAACTACAGCATTTTCATAGCTCCAGAGCTGCCTGTGGGCCTTGTGATATAGGAACTGCACCGACACTGCATATCCTTAAGTAGGCCTAACAAGTTTAAAACCAGGAAAGGAAAAAAAAATCTATATCAACTTGAAAAAAAGAAACCCCCAAAGCATCTTAGCTCTGACCTTGTGCTTTATAGTCCCTCCACCCATTGCATTTTTTAAAAAAAATCCTGATTATAGTTTCCAACTATCAAAATGTGATCCCCTCCAGAGTTAAAACCCTCAAAATGTGGTTTGAAGGCATCCTGTGTGAATGACAGGGATCATAGAATACATCTCAGAATTCATTTCAATGGACAGATTAAACAGAAAACTTGCAGAGCTAGTAAGGAATGGTCATAGTATTTGGACTACAGTAATACAGGTAGGAGTATTAGGAGCCTGGATAGCTCAACAGACAGAGCTCTGTAATTTAACACCAGCTGTCTGCAATTAAAGTAAGATTGAATCTGGCCAGGCTCAAGGTTGACTCAGCCTTCCATCCTTTCTAAGGTAGGTAAATTGAGGACCCAGTTTGTGGGGGCCATAAGCTGACTTTGTATAAATATACAAAAAGTATGAAGGCTATTGCTTAACGCATTGTAAGCCGCCCTGAGTCTCTGGAGAAGGGCGGCATATAAATCAAATAATAAAAAAAAAAGGTAGTCCTCAACATACAACGGTTCATTTAGTGACTGTTCGAAGTTACAACGGCACTGAGAAAAGTGAGTTACAACCATTTTTCACCCTTATGACCATTGTATCCTCCCCGTGATCAAAATTCAGACCCTTGGCAACTTGACTCACGTTTATGACGGTTGCAGTGTCCCAGGGTCACGTGTTCCCCTTTTGTGACCTTCTGACAAGCAAAGTCAATGGGGAAGCCAGATTCGCTTAACAACCGTGTTACTAATTTAGCAACTGAAGTGACTCACTTAACAACTTGGCAGGAAAGGTTGTAAAATGGGACAAAATTCACTTAACAACTGTCTCACTTAGCAGAAATTTTGGGCTCAGTTGTGATCGTTAAGTCGAGGACTACCTGTAGAGAACCTATAGGATTTCTAATAACAAGTTCTCAGATCATCACCGTCAAGGTGACAGGTATTGCAGAGAAAAGCAGAATCCTTCAATGTATTTCCAGTTTGGCTTAAAGCTGCTGGTTTCTACAAGAGCCTTGGTGGTGCAGCGGACTAAAGTGCTGTTAAGTAGCACTTAGCTGCCAGCTGCCTGCAATTAGTGTGAGTTCAAATCTCACCAGGCTCAAGGTTGACTCAGCCTTCCATCCTTCCGAGGTAGGTAAAATGAGGACCCGGATTGTGGGGGCAATAAGATGACTTTGTATAAAAAAGAACACCGCTTAGGGGGGCCCCAAAAGCCCTACTAAGCAGGTATATACAAAAGTATGGAGGCTATTGCTTCTCCGGAGAAGGGTGGCATATAAATCGAACCAATAAATAAATAAGTATAAATAATCCTTAAAATAAAACTATTAAGATCTTTATTTCCTTCCCCATGCCCCCTCAAACGTAACCTCCTAGCTCTTTATGAAATACGCTGCTGGTGATATAGTACTACTGGTAGCAG